ATACTGAGAGTGAATCAGTTGTGCAGGCAGCGCTGGACAAGGTCAGTAGTGTTCTAAAATGAAGTATGTAAACAGGAGCCTAATATTTTCATTTTTCCAGACATTTGTGGAAAGAGCTGCAAGACATAGAGTCCCTTGTCGTACACAGAATTTTTGAGATCCTGCAGATATTAGAGCAGAATCTTGTTTCAAGTGAGAAGATGGAATTATATTTTCTGCAGTATTAAGCTGAAATCAACATTTTCTTGGTGTAAATGCCAGCCCTTGCAATTATCTCTCTTACTGACATGCATATTGTTGTCAGTCACCTACTTAATTAACTTGTGTTAAAACCTGACAGAGAAGGTAAGTGCTACCAGCATGTCATAAGTAATTGTATCAGTGACTTGGCAGGAAACACTCCAAGGAAACATTTGTTTAAGTTCACATGAACAGTTCTAGGTGCTTGTTTTGTTCTTAACATAGAGCTGTCTCACTAAGGGACAGCTGATCACTGGTGCGACTCAGAAGTTTCTGTATTCATGCTGGGGCTATACTCTCAAATGGTGTTCTGAATTCACTGAGTCGGATTCTGCTGGAGAACTGTAACGCTTCTCACTGCTGTTGGGTAGAAAGAGACAGTTTGAGGAGAATTATTAATGGAAATACATTCAATAGAGAAGTTATTTGTCTAGTTCTTCTTGGCCACATTATCTTATAAATTTGGATCCTCATAAACCTTTGCAGAAGACCTAAGGACTCAGAATCATAGAATGGTTTGGGTTAGAAAGAACCTTTAAAGGTCATCTAGTTGAACCCCTCTGCCATGTGCAGGGACATCTTTCACTAGATCAGGTTGCTCAAAGCCCTGTCCAACCTGACTTTGAGCCCTTCCAATGATGGGGCATCCACAAATTCTCTGAGCAACCTGTTTCAGTGTCTCACCACCCTTATCATAAAAAATTTCTTCCTTAAATCTAGCCTAAATCTACCCTCTTTCAGTTTAAAACCATTGTCCCTTGTCCTGTCACTACAGGCCCTGGTAAAAAGTCTCTCTCCACCTATGTTATAAGCCCTCTTTATATACTGAAAGGCCACATTAAGGTGTCCCCAGAGCCTTCTCTTCTCCAGGCTGAACAACCCCAACTCTCTCAGCCTGTCCTCGTAGGAGAGGTCTTTCAGCCAGCCCTCTGATCATTCTTGTGACCCTCCTCTGGACCCAACAGTTCCATGTCTTTCTTGTACTGGGCTCTCCAGAGCTGGATGCAGCACTACAAGTGGGATCTCACCAGAGCAGGGTAGAGGGGGAGAATCTCCTCCCTCAACCTGCTGGCCATGCTGCTTGTGATGCAGCCCAGGATGCAATTGGCTTTCTGGGCTGTGAGTGCATGCTCTTGGCTCATGTTCAGCTTTTCATCCACCAGTACCTCCAAGTCCTTCTCCACAGGGCTGCTCTCGATCCCTTCATCTCCCAGTTTGTATTCATATTGTGTGTTGTCCTGACCCAGGTGCAGGGGCTTGCACTTGGCCTTGTTGAACTTTGTGAGTTCACATGGGCCTACTCCTCAAGCTTGTCAAGGTCCCTCTGGATGCCATCCTTTCCCTCAGGTGAATCAACCACACCACTCAGCTTGGTGTCATCCACAAACTTGCTGAGGGGTCACTCAATCCTGTTTGTCTATGTCAATGATGAAGATAGTAAATAGTATGGTTCCCAGTATGGATCCTCGATGGACATCACTGAAGCCGAACTCCACCCAGGTTCCAACAAAATTCCACTGCTTGGGATTATTACTTTCATTATTTAAACTAGAAGTTGCTTGATCATTTTAATACATCCTGGTCATCATTGAAATAGCAAGCTGTGACATTCGATATATTAAGTGCGATAGACTCATAAATATTCAAAGGCAGGTAGTTAGTTGAAATGTATTTGACATGAACTGTAGAGATTTTATTTTCAGTGAACCTATTTGAGTCTGCAATGATTTAGAGATAAAAACAGTGAAAAGTTTTAAATAGCAGTGTGAAATATTTTCTAATGCTTCTGAATATAAACTATGCTTCACATATGTTAAGGATTAAATGAACAACTATGAGGTTGAACATAAAAACTTTTAGCATTTTTAAAATTTTAAGTTTCGTAACATTGTAACATTATAAAATTTTAAAAATTTAGACTTTTGTTTAGATATTTGTGATCAAAATTTGATGGTTTTATGTGCCATAGTGAAAGATTGTCTCTAATATTACTTTTCAAGCTAAAGATTTTATTTCTGTTTTAAAGTACTCATTGAAATCTGTTTTTTTTTAAATTTTTTTAAAGTCATATTGTCCTGTGAACCATTTTAATGTTTCCCTTAGGTCTTATTCAACTCAAATATGAAGATGAACAATTTTTGAATATACTTAGAAATGCTTATATTAAATTTTGTTATTTCTAGGCAAGGGAAGGACGCACCACGGTCGTAGTAGCTCATCGACTGTCAACAGTCCGAAATGCAGATCTTATAGCTGTGTTTGAAGGTGGAGTTATCTCAGAACAAGGGAATCATTTTAAATTATTAGACAGAAAGGGGATCTACCACAAACTCGTTAACATGCAGGTACTTTTTTCTCCCTAGCTGTTGCTTCATTTTCTTTTTTATATTCCATGCCCACAGTTATTGTATACTACCAGAAGTATGTGGAATTCTGCAGTGTATTTTGTTAACAGCAAAAAAATATGTACTTTGAATGGAGAGCAATAATTTTGAGAGAAAAGACCATTAGTTTTGATACCAGAGATATTTAAATACAGGATAGTACATTTCTAATCCTCTAGGGCTTTAAAATTAAAAGATTATTTTATGTTTTCCTTTTATGCAGTTAATGTTGAGCAGCTGACTACAGTAGTTGGCTATTCCATTGCTTGTTCTTAGCCTATGATAAAAGCGAAAATACAGTAGCTTATATTGGAGGAATAGAGCATGCATATTTTAAGCTGTTTAGTTATAATCCTTCATTCTGAGTTTCTTTCTAAATTAAAAAAAAAAACAAAAACAAACACATGGAGGAACAGGACAAAAAGAAAGTAATCTAGCTATGCTGAGTGCAAAAATATGTGCATTTTAAAAGTTATGTAGCCAGAAACAAAGAGATTGGAAATTGATATAAGTATCAGAAATTTATTAGTTACTAAGTGAACAAAATACTTTGATACTTCCCAGTGTCCCTTGCGATAGTTAGCTTATAGCTGAGCTTCACTGTAGCCTTCTGTGTCACTGGTGTTTTACTGCAAAACCACCATGCCATTAAAGAAACTGAAACTGTTATCTCAGTATGTCAGTCTGAAAAGAGCAAACCAGGCCAATTCAAGCATTTCCTTGTAAAGTAACTATGAGAAAGCATTTGGTCACCTCAGATCCACGTAACTTTGTATCCAAGCAAATGTGATAATGGGAAAAATTAGGAAATAATAAAATGGAAAGAAACTAAAAAACCCCAGAAAATAACAAAAAATTTAAAGAAAGCAATAAACTTATTTATATTACCAGTGCAAAAAGCAATAAGAATAAAAACTTTCTGGAAAGAAAAAAATGCCTGTTGAAAGCAACTTTGAATCCAGTTACTATTAAATACCTCAGTGGTATGTAGACATTGATTTATTCTGTCAAAGAGACTGGCAAACCTGCCACCAACAGTAGGGCTCTTTTTGAGACTGTTCAGATTTTTCAGTCACAATCTTTTTGACCTGTTCCATCCTGAACTTCCTTATTACATTCAAAATCAAGAATTGTTAAGAGCATTCTGCACTAAAGAGGGGTAATTTTCTCACTTCGTGAATAAACACTGTATCCATTGAGAACTCATTCAAAAAGATCCCAAGATCAGTGCAAATGGTTTACACTCAATTTAAAACTCTGTTATGAGTTCAGAAAAAAAGGAGCAGCTCCTTCCACTCCCCTGCCCTCCACTTAATGTAAGTATTTTCTTGAGAGGTGGGATACTCTTATATGTGAATCAAGCTCTGTAGAGATCTACTCAACTATAATACAGATTTTCATATCTGCTTTATACCATTATACATTGTTTTCCCTATACCTCTTTCCACTGAAACAAAGTGGTTTTTACTTTGATTACCTCATAATTTTGAAAGATCAAAATAATATATGCATAATTAACCTTATCATTATGTTCTTCCTTCTTTCAGGCAATAGAAGCTGAAGTTCCATCATCAGAAAAAGATGAAAATGCACTTAGTGTCAAAAAAAGTGAATCTGAACCAGAATTTGAAGAATCTGTAACAAAAGGTTTGAGAAGACGATCGTCTCAGAGAAGCATGAAAAAGCCAGGAGCACAAAATTGTGATACTGATGAGAAAACGAGTTCACCTGTAAGTATCTTTGCAGAGCTGTTAGTGAACTCTGATTTCTTCCGACAAACATGTTAAAATTAAGTTCATTCTCCCGCTCTAGAAAGGTACAAGAAGAAGGAGGCATTTAATAGGGGTGAAAGAAACATGAGAATTTTTCAATTCTAAATAGCCTTTGACTGGTAATATTAATTTTTTAAATTTATTTTAGTTTTATTATTCTCACCATGAATGATTGTATAAATAAAATGGGACTTTAAAAATCTCTAGCAAGGATGAGTTTATCTTTGAAAATCAATTTGCTAGAAAAGAAATATGTTTACATATATTTGCATACCATACGAACATAGTCCATACAGGTTAAACATTCTTTTTTTTCATCAGAAACAGAATTTGATCAGAAATTTGGCCCAACATACAAGTCTTACAACAAACTTTACCAAAAAAACATACAATGAATGTGATTGCATTCATATTTGCAGCAAATACTTTGCTGTTATAAATTCCTTAATGAACAATCACTTGAATTAGTCTAATTATGGATTACACACAGCAATACGCCCAGAATGAATAGTTCAGTCACCACTGTCCATAACCAAGAGTACTGATCAATGAGAATGGTATAGGTAAACTAAATTATGATGACTAGAGCTCTAGATATATTCTAACAGCTCTTTCTTCCTTGTATTAAAATAATAAAAAGGAATGTACAATCAGTTAAATCTTCATGTTACTAAAAAGTATACATTTTAACTTCCCCTGAGTAGATTCAGGGAGTAGGAAATTGACCATTAATCTCTCTTTTTCTCCATATTTCTCCAAATACATACATGTTTGTCCTCACAGAATTCCCATTTTTTAGGATGAAGAATTACCTCCAGCTTCATTTCTGAAAATTATGAAGCTGAACAAAACTGAATGGCCATACTTTGTAGTTGGAACTTTATGTGCAATTATCAATGGAGCTTTACAACCTGCATTTGCAATCATATTTTCAGAAATTATAGGGGTAAGTTTGAATAAAATATGCAAGAAATTATAAAGCCCACAAAATTTATTTGTAATAAAACCAGGCCTGAAACAGTCACTGCATAATGAAGCTGAGGAGTGGATGAAGCACTATTACAAAAATCTGAAGAATTATATGAAATTTGCAAAATCCTAAAAATCTTGCTGCAACCTGAAATTTGCTTGTTATGCCTATAATCATATATAACATGCTCGAATTTGATATGAATGCAAATGACTACCAAACACAGTTATTGAGAAAGATGGCAGTATTTTAGATTATTACTGATTTAAAAAAATTAAATATTAATAATTTAAATATTATTTCATAGATTTTTTCAGAAGCGGACAAGAACATTTTAAGAGAAAAGAGCAACTTATATTCGGTGCTGTTTTTAGTACTTGGGATCATTTCCTTTTTTACTTTCTTTTTCCAGGTATGTTCTATTATTTTAGCTTTATTATAATTGTTTGTCACGGTTTAGAAACCAGATCTGAAATGTACTCAGTATTTGTACCTTCTTAGTACATGTCTCCAACTCAAAGCAGAACCCGTATTTATGGTTCTAGATGTGCCTTGTGCTGAATTTAATTTTTTTTGGCCTAGAGCTTCGCATGTGTTAGAGACCTTCCAACCTCTTCTGACCTCTTATCTTCAGACCTTGCCCTCAGTCAAACACATCTCAGCATGAAACTGAATTCTCTGCTCTTTTTCTCCATTGCCACTTAACAACCAACCTCTCTACTATACCACTTTCTTCTCACCCTCAAGCCCTCCTATTTGACTCTGTTAGTAATTGCAAATCTACCAATCTCCTGCCTTAGCTCTCCAATTTTGAACTCGCCTACCCCCTTGCCCATTCAAGTCTTACCTTATGTGACCCCCCCCCCCCCAACGATTCTCAGGCCCAGTTCATTAAATAACACCCATCATGCTGATATTCAGTTCCTCCTGCTTAAATACTAATGGTTGAACAGTTAATTCCTCGCCCCCTGCTTTCACTGATCTCTATAGCCACCTCAACTGCTACAGAAAAAGCATTTTACTTCACCCTACTCCTTACACAGGGAACTAATGGGCAAACTCAAGTGGAAGAAGAGAGTCTATAGATCTTGGAAGTAGGGGATGGCCACTTGGGAGGAATGTAAGACTATTGTCAGAGGACGTAGGGAGACAACTGGGAAAGCTAAGGCTTCCTTGGAGTTAAGCGTTGCAAGGGAGGTCAAGGACAACAGAAAGGGCTTCTTCAAATACATTGCAGACAAAACTAACTGTAGAGGCAATGTAGGCCCACTGCTGAATGAGGCAAGTGTCCTGGTGACAGAGGATACAATGAAGGCAGA